ATAATTAATTAAGAACACATTGGGATACTATATTAGGAGAGGAGTTGAATATAACTGAAGCATAACATCCTTAATTTTATGCAAGGTACTGGTGAGTCTATGTTTCCAATACTATATGCAGTTTTGATCTTTTAAGGAAATATCTAAATACATTGGAGGCATTTGAGAGGAGCTTTAACTGAATTGGAATAAGTTGGTTGTGAAATGAAGATAGATTAGACAGGCTGCATCTGAGTTAAGAGGCGTGATGGGCAACTTGATTGAAGTGTACATAATCCTGAATAGCCTTCACAAAGTGGACACGGAAAGGGCACTTCTCCAGAGGAGGCGATGGCCTAATTGTATTATCACCAGACTATTAATCCAAAAACTGGACTAACGTTCTGGGGAAACCAAAAGAACTGCGGATGCTGTAAATCAGGAACAAAAACAAAGTTGCTGGAAAAGCTCAGCAGGTCTGGCAGCATCTGTGAAGGAAAAAACAGAGTTAACGTTTTGGGTCCGGTGAACGTTAACTCTGTTTTCTCCTTCACAGATGCTGCCAGACCTGCTGAGCTTTTCCAGCAACTTTGTTTTTGTTGTTGTTGTTATGTTCTGGGGACATGCTTTTGAATGCCACCACAGCAAATGGTGGAATTTGAATTCAATTTAAAAATCCTGGAATTAAGAATCTACTGATGACCATTATCATAGAACCCATTTGGCTCACTAATGTCCTTCAGAGAAGGAAAGCTGCCATCTTCACCAGGTCTGACTGACATGTAATTCTAGACCCACAGCAATGTGGTTGACTCTAAATTGCCCTCTGAAATGGCCTAGCAAGCCACTCGGTTATACTAATAGATACGAAGTTTCAAAGAAATGACAACAGGAGGACGACAGTGGTTCAAGAAGGCAACGCAACCGTTTTCTCAAGGGCAACTAGGGATGGGCGATAGATGTTGGCTAGCTAGCAATACCCACATCCCTTGAGTGAAAAAAGAATTATTCCTTTTTTGAGTGACTGTAAATAGAAACTTGGAGTTGTTGCTTGATTATAATCGAAGTAAATGTAACTGCTACAAAGAGGCCTGTCCTTAAAACTCACCATGATCCAAAGTTGAAATAACTGCCATTGTTTGAGAGTTTGATAATTGTTCTTCCTTTGTGTAAACCTTTTGAAGTGGTTCTAAAAATTTAAACTGATTTTCTTCTGGGCATGTGGATGCTATTAGGTGTTTTTTGAAAGATTGGATTTTTTTTTAATCTGCAAAAACTGATAACCCCAAAAAAACTAGAAAATAGTTTTTTTTTATATTCTAAGATTTTCAGTAAAGCAGTTCACCGGTGGGCATACTTTTTGTTCTGTTTTACTCTTAAATATTTATTTTTCAGTGAACACCATTTTCAAGTGTATTAATCAAACTTTACTAAGTTGCCACTCCAAGATTTGTTTTGTCCCTTGTTAAATTAAAAACAGTTTTTATGTGGTCTTCAAGTTTGTATGTAAAATAGCACAAACTGAGAATACACATTCATGTCTTTATCCACAGGAATTATCTAGTTTTGTCTTGGTGTGCTTGAATGTCATACTTTTACAAGAGTAAATCTAATTCCTGAATTCTCCTTCCACCCTATTTCGCAGCAAAGAATTCTGCATTTGAACAACTTACTCTGCAAGGAGTACCTTTTCTCAACTTCTAAAAAAATTCATGCATGGGAGGTGGGTATTGCTTGTTCCCCTAATGCCGATAGGAATGGGGTGGTGAGATGCCTTCTTGAATTGCAGCAGTTCAGTATGATATAGGTGTCTTGCCTGCTATTCCCTGTCCTTTTTTTTAGATGGTTGAGGTCTTAGGTTTGGAAAGTGCTGTCTGTGGAGCATTGGATAGTTTCAGTGATGGTACAAATGGCACGCACTGCTGTTACTGCATGTCTGGTAGACAGAGTGATTATTGAGCATATTAGCTGGGGTCCCATTCAAGTGGGTTGCTTTGTCCTGGATGATTTTGAGCTTCGTGTTGGAGAGTATTCCATCACACACATGACTAGTGCCTTGTAGATGGTGAATAGGCCTTGAGGAGTTGGAGGTGAGTTACTCCCCACACAATTCCTAGCCTTCAACCTGTCCTTTTATAGCAGCATTATTTATTTGGCTGTTCCATTTCAGTTTCTGTTAAGTGAGAACCCTGCATATTGATTATGGGGGATTCAGACATGGCGATACCGTTGTCAAGGAGTATTGGTTGGATTCTCTCTTGGAGTTGGTCATTGGCCAGTACTTGTGTGGTACAAATGTCAGCCTGAGGCTGAGTATTGTCCAGGTCTTAAAGCAGTTCCTGACCAAACTCAGTAAGTATCTGAGGAGTTCCACCAATGGTGCTGAACATCCCCACTTCTGACCTTGTGATATAGACAAAGCAATTGATGAAGCGTTGAAGATAGTTGGGCCTAGAACATCATCCTGAGGAATTCTTGCACTGATGCCCTGTGGCTTAGATGAACGATCTCCATGACAATGCCATGACAATCAACCTTTTTGCTAGGTATGACTCCAGTGAAAAATCTTTTACCCGATTCCATTTTTAACTTGTTTTTTTCAGGGCTCCTTGGTGCCACAGTCACTGTGCAGTGTTGCCTTGATTTCAAGTGTAGCTGCCTTAACTTTCCCTTTTTGAGTTAAGCTCTTTTTTGTCCTTGGTTGTTTGAGCCAAGTCTGTAGGAGGATAGGAGCTCTGCAGTCCTTGCTGAACCCCAACTGCCCCATCTGTGAGAAGATTATTATTGAGGTAAGTGTTTGATACTGCTGCCGATGACCATTTCCATCACTTTCAGTTAGAGTTGAACCACGGTGTATTTAGCTGGGTTGTATTTTTTTGACCTTTTTCTGTGGACCGAACATACCTAGCTAACTTTCCACGTTATTTCGTGGACGCTCGTGTTGTAACTAAAGGAACAGCTTGCTTAGCTGCACAGCTGTAGAACACTAGCCTTCAATATATTTCCTGGAAAACTGCCAGGGCCCATAGCCTTTGCAATACACAGGTAGTTCTATAATGCAATAGTTGTGTTCTTCTGTAACATTGCGCTGTAGGGGAAATCGCACAATCTATACAGCAGAAAGTTCATGTTATCCAAACAGCATCCACTATTCATCAATTGCGTTACAGCCAATTTGCATTAACGAAACATGCGTTATAGCAGAATTATCTGTATTCAATGCCTTCTAATTGACAAGCAATGACTAGTGGATGCCTCGGGCTCCAGACCCCAAAAATTTACAACTGAGACACCTACAATAGGTTGAGCAGTAAGTTGCAATGAAGAAATAAGAAATTTACAACTGGATATGGATAGCTTGGGTGAATGGGCCAAAATTTGGCAGATGGAGTTTAACTTTTTAATCCATTTTGATTCAAGGAATAAAGGGGCAACTTATTATCAAGGTGAAGAGAAAATTCAACATGCTTTGGTGCAGAGGATCTGGGTATTCTCACGCATGAATTACAAAAGGCTAATTTGCACCTACAGTGGGTAATAAGGCAGGCAAATGGAATTTTGGCATTTATTGCTAAAGGAATGGAGTACAAAAGCAGGGAAGAGTTGTTGCCTTGAACATTTGATATACTGTGTACAGTTTTTTTGGTTCCTTTCCTTAAGGAAAGATGTAGTTGCATTGTAGCTAGTTCACGAGATTAATTCCAAAAATGAGAGGCTTATGAGGAGAGATTCAGCAGTTTAGACCTATACTTACTAGCGTTTAGAAGAATGAGGGGAGATCTAATTGAGAAGTGTAAAATACTAAAGGGAATTGACAAAATAGACACTGGCTGTTTTTTTTTTTCCCCTCTTGTGGGGCAAACTAGAATGAGAGGTGATAGTTTTAGGCTAAGTGGTGGCAGACTTAAAACAAATGAGAAATTACTTCTCTCCAATGTTGAATCTATGGAAACCACTACCCTAACGTGGAGGGTATCTTCAATGTGAAGGTGGATATGCTCACTCCTGATGTCTGCTACAAGTAGGTTGGTGAGGGCAGAAACCATTTTGTTTTTCTCTTGTTTTCCTCATCTCTTGTCACAGGCTATCCCAAGTATCCATGTGATTTTGGACTTGGTTAATCTGGTCACTGGTGATGCTACTGAATCAGTCTTGTTGACAAACATCGAAGTCCCCCATCCAGAGTAAATTCTGTGCTCTTGCCACCCTCATTGTGTCCTTCAAGTGGTGTTCAACATGAAGGGAAACTGGTTTGTCAGCTGGGGGTATTAAGTGGTAATCGCAGATTTCTTTGCCCATGCTTGACTTGATGCCTTAAGTTTTGGGTTCCAGATTCCATGTAGGAGACTTTAAAGGCAACTCCCTTTCTTATACCAACGGGCTCGCACCTCTGGTCCTGTGAGTGGGATTGGACAAACAACGAACGGTGATCGTGGTATTTGGAATACAGTTGTAATCTCAGAATTATATCTTGCACGCTGTCGGGATGTTGCTTAACCAGTCTGTGGGACAGCTGTTCCAATTTAGGATAAACACCATGATGTTAATAAGGAGTAATACGTAGAGTCAACAGGACTTTGTATACCATTGTTTCCTTTCTTTGGTCAATGTTGACAATAGGTTTTATCACCATTTGGCCACTTTTTTTAATTCCAGATTTATTAATTCAATTCATATTTCACCATCTAGCATGATAGGTTTTGAACCCAAGCCCTCAGTGACTGTGACAAACTATGAGCAAAACTTTGTTATATCTTACCTTCCCATATAATCTCGTAAGTACACTACTGTAATGCACAATAAAAGATTATTCACTCATTACTTGGGTCAAATGACTGTTGCATCGTCTATTATGAGCGTGGCTACACTTTTTTTTTGCATATTTGTGTTCCCTGGATGTACTGAACATTTTCCCTCCCCCTTTTCCTCAGGATCATATGATCTTTCTTAAGTTCCACGTAAATTGGTCAATTTGTTATCAGAAATGTCACTAAAATTAGTTTATATTTAAATATTTCCAGATTTGAAGAAGACGTTGGCTGTTCTCCTTGATAATATTTTACAACGTCTTGGAAAGTTGGAGTCCAAAGTAGACAACCTGATGATTTTAAATGGGACAGGGATAAATTCTACTAATGCTACTACTACTGTGAGCCCCAGCTCTGTCACTGTTGAGAAAGTTAATGTGGCAGGTAAGTACATAATTTCCGTCTATAACCCACTTTAAGTGGCGTATCACTTAATTTTTGTTGGAGAAAGTTACCCACTATTTTTCTAAAATATTAGAACATTGCAATAAAAATAGGCCATATTCCCTAGGTACCTTTTAAACTTTAAGAGCTTTGACGTTTCTTTTGAGCAGTTTGCATTTATTTAATTCCCAGATTTTTTTTTTTAAAACCCCTGTTTTACAAGTTCAGTCCTTTTCCTGCTGTTCCTCTCTTTAAATACTCACTAGCATTTGTGTGTTTCAGACCAAAGATGATACCCCATTTTCTTTGCAATCAGACACTGAGCTACCTGTAGAGAAGGTGCTTTGATTCAAGTGGAATATTAAACCAGTTTTTTTGACTTTCTGAACTGAACCTTGAAGGGCCAGTACCTGGAATTTTAAATAAAACCAAAATACTGCAGATTCTGAAAATCTGACGTAAATG